AAAAACAAAAAAAAAAAAAAAAAAAAAAAAAAAAAAAAAAAAGGTCTGCCTCCTGTGTGTTGCATTGCCACATGTGAGTATGAGGCATGCACATGGAGCCAAAGAATTGTACACGGGGATGCAAAGCTTCAATAACACAATGGGATCTGCAAGCCTCTCAACTAGAGGTTATTAGACAAGAGAAACCACATGCCTATCAATGGTGTTTGATGATCATGTCCTTCATTTTTACTGAGGACTCGGGATTCTGGCTTGAAATCAGTGACGTGATGGGATCAATACAATGGGAAACAGCACTCTGGGACATCGCCACACCACCCCACCCCACCCTGCCCCACCCTGCCCCAGCACCCATTTTAAAAGGAAAAAACAAATTGCTCTTTAAAAATATATCTTAGCCGATTGTGATGGTGCATGCTGGTAGGATTTGCTGAAGGAGGTGGAGGCAGGAGGATCACGAGTTTGAGGCCAGCCTGGGCTAAAAATACATGTTTTGAACTTCAGGGAGCTGGTGAAATCGCCAGATGCAGTTTAGTGGGTTTCTTATGGCAAGCTTCATCTTGTAAACAGTGGAGGGTAGTGGAGCTCATCTTTTCCTTGCAACTCCAGATCTGGATCTGCCTCAGAGTGCAGTGGATTTTGAAGATGCTATTGGGACTAAAACAAAAAATACTTATCTATATGTGCTGACTAAAAGAACTGCATAGAAAATTGCTTCATTATGGAGAATGTGCAATCCAACACCATTTGTATTAGGTGTGTTTAAAGAGGTGGGAATGTACATATGTATATATGCATATCCCATAGTCTCAGACCACTAGTACTAATGTCTAAAAATTGAAGTGTATTACCCAGCAAATAAAAGAGGAAAAGAAAAGGAAGTTGTCATTGAGTAACCTAGATAGCTTTCATAGGAAAATAGGCAATATTTTCTAATGTTTATAATGTTTTCTTCAAATATAACACTGTTCAGTGTACCCAATATATTCACTTATTTGTCCATCCATCCATTCATTCCCTGACTATCTATTGAGGGCCTATTATGTCCTGAGAGCTTAGGAAGCTTCAGGGAACAAAACAGAAATCCTTACCTGGGAGGATATATATTCTAGTACAAGAGACAAGCAGTAAATATGATTGATAAATATGTAATGTCAATGGGCTGGAGAGATGGCTCAGCCATTAACAGGCTAGGCTCACAACCAAACATATAAGAAGGTACTAAGTGCTGGCATTATCAAAACAGGAAAAATAGATCATGGATAGAGTAGGATGGAGAATGCCACACAGTACAGCAGGAAGAGGAATGGCAAAGTGTGATATCAAACAAGACATGAAGGGAGGGTGGGTCTCATGATTGGATAGGTAAGATGAGCTGAGATTTGAAGACAACAAGAAAGGTCTAGACAGAGGTGATACCTAAAGCAAGTATTCCAAGACAGGAAGGTGCCTACTCCGTCCAAAGAGAATCATGGAGGTCAATGTGGCTGCGTTAGAACAGGAGCTGGGGAGTGGTGGAAGGTGAGACTAGACAAGTGGCTTGGGCAGGGGATGATCTACATGTGTCTGTGGACAACTGTGCAAGCACTTCTGTAACACACCTTCTACAAGTCCTAATAGGTCTTAATAATAAAAACCCCAGAGTCAGATATTAAAGGGTAAAAGCTGAAAGATCAGAGAAGCAGACAGCTCCTAGAGCTCTTACCTCTACAAAATCTTCAGTTGAAAAGAGACCAAGTTCCTGTCTCCTCCCACCTATATTCCTCTCTCTACCCAGTCATCTCACTTCCTGTCTGTCTGTACAGACCTCCAGACCTCTATGCTGAGCTACTAGCTAGCTCTGCCCTCTGATCTTCAGGCAAGCTTTATTGGTTATGCAAACAAGATATCACCACACACTTCAGCTTTGACTCAGATAAAAATGATGAGCCATGCAGTGACAGAGCAGAGAAGGTGGCTTTGTTTCAAAGGACGGTTCTTGTATTATACAAGGGTGACTTCCATCATATTTGTACTTCTCTCGTTTGATTTCAGTGAAAACTAACAAACTAGTGATCTCCCAAATGTTACCCCTGGGGAGTACCAGCAGTGTCAACAGGGAAACGTTAGATGTGCAAATACTTAGGCACCAACAAAGACCCACAAATTCAGAAAGTCTGTTGATGGGACTCTCAAATCTGAGTTTTAACAAATCCTCCAGGTCACAGGTCACGCTGTACTCCCCTCCCCCATAATTGTATATTGGTTAAAACAATCTCAATCTCTGACCTTTCACTAATATTTGAGCATCATTATGGGATTGCAAATAGTCAGTCATTTCCATTAGAGAGAAGGCCAAACGGAACCAGTGAAAGAAATTCAGGAAGGTTCTTGGTGTTGTCTAGATTTTAGAGAGCCCTGACTGCCATCTTAAACATGCTGATGTTCACTGAGAAGGACGTAGTGTTGCATACCTTTAACCTCAGCACTTGGGAAGCAGACAGAGGCAGGCGGATCTCTGTAAGTTTGAAGTCATCCTGGTCTACATAGTGAGTTCCAGGACAGCCAGAGCTATATAATGAGAACTTATCTTAAAAAAAAAAAAAAATAGAAAAAAAAGTTGATGTTTAGTTTCCAGAACACAGGAAGCCATTGCAAAAATTTAATTAGTAAAGTATTACATATTTGCAATGTATTATTGCAATGTATATGTAATGTATAATTGGTTCATTTTAAGGCATTATATAGTATTCACTGACTTATTTTAAAAAACGTCTCTCTATGTGTATGTGTCTGAGTGTGGGCACGTGTGCATGTATGAGGGTCAAAGGACAACTTTCAGGGGTTAGTTCTTGTTGTCCTTGATGAGGCAGGGCCTGTCTTGCTTCTGTTGTTGTACTTCAGGCTAGTTGGCCCACAAGCATCCAACAGATTTCACTCTTCCCGTCTCTACCTCTCTTCTCACTATAGGAATGCCAGGATTGCAAATGTGCTCTACCTCATCTATACTGTTTTAAAAGATTTTATCTTATTTTTAATTCTGTGGATATATGTCTCTGTGTGTCTATGTGCACAGCAATGCAAGTGCCCCCAGGGACCAGAAGAGGGCATCAGATCCCTCTGAGATGAGGATAGGTTGGTTGAACCACCAAAGGTGGGTCCCGAGAACCAGATTCAAGTCCTCTGCTAGAGCAACAAGCACTCTTAATTGCCAAGCCATTTTTCCAGCTTCTACCCCCTCCTGACCCTATTTTTTATTTTGTTTTTTTGTTTGTTTTTTAATTATGGGTCCCAGGGATCAAGTTCAAGTAGTCAGGCTTGCATGTCAAGAACTTTCACCCTCTAAACTATCTCTCTGGCCCTTACCATTTTTTTTTTTTAAATTTTGTTTCAATTTTACAAAATAAAAAGACAAAAAAGGATTCACAAAGGATTAAAACAGGCGAAACTCATTTTTGAATGAGTCTGACCAATAGAAAAAGGAAAAGGGAAAATGTTTACCAGCAGAACTGGAGCCATAATGAATACCTCCCATTTTTGTTTTTGTTTTATTTTGTTTTTTGCTACTGTTCTGTGACACGCTAGGATTCATATGCTTGCCAAATGTCAAAAGGCTGTTCTAATAAAAATAAAAATAAAAAAGCTCTAGCTTTTCAAGACCTAAAATACACACAGTCCAGAGGTTTATAAGAAGGGTATAAAAGAAGAAACTATAAAATAACAACAACAACAACAACAAAGGAGCCCTTGTAACTGGTCAGGAAACCAACAATGTCCCAATGAAAACTATTAATACCAGATTAAAACATTCTCGAAACAAAACTAAACAAAACCACAAATGGCATTTGTCAGATTGAGTTCTTCAACCCCTTAAGCTATCCTGAGATACACTTCCCTCTGGGCTACTGAAAGATCAAACTACGAAACTACTATAATAAGCCATATTTCAGATCATGCCTAGTCAGCAAACATGTGTGCTTGGTTAGTGTACCATGGAGGGGAATTCTGAAAATGATTGATACTAGTCTGGCATTTAAGATGGTATTCAGGAGGTGGATGAGGTAATAGGAAAACCTGTCTTTTTTTTTTTTTTTTCTTCTTCTTCTTCTTCTTCTTCTTCTTCTTCTTCTTCTTCTTTTAGCCTATGCTTGTTACTAACTAGCTCTTGTTTTCTTTTTTCCTCCATTTTTTATTTAAATTAGAAACAAGATTGTTTTACATGTCAACCCCAGTTCCCTCTCCCTCCCCTCCTCCCCTGCCCCCCACTAACACCCTACCTATCCCATACCCTTTCTGCTCCCCAGGGAGAGTGAGGTCTTCCATGGGGGGGGGGCATATGTTTCCAAGGCCTCCTCACTGACACCATATTCATAGGGTCTGGATCAG